CCTGTTCCTCTTCCAAGGCCCTTCTGAAATGTCCCCCTTCTTCATCATTCTCCTTATCTCCTATGCTAGGGACACTCACCCGCTCTCCCCCCCCCCTTTCCATACTATTGATATCTGCCTCTATTATAGCACTTAAGCTTTTGTATTAATGAGTTCTACGTTGGCACCTCAGTCCAGAGCTGCTAGGAGCACACATTGCTCCTCTGTGCATATTAGGAAAAGGCACCCCTTCCTCCAGAGCCAGACACACAGCTTGGGAATAAGAGCATGAGTATACTTGACCAACGGCAGGGCCTCTCCACCTGTCTTCTCTGCTGTGAGCTCCTGAGTGTCTGCTGGTACTTATTCATCTTTGTATGTCTCTAGCATGGAAACCAGTCCCCATAGTGACCCTTTGGAAAAAGGTTTTATAAGCTGAAATGAATTGAATGCAGCCTGGGAGCACAGGCAGGGTTGCTCCACAGGCGAGTCATCAAATGCTGTGATTTGCAGAAGGCTCTCAGAGCAGCAGAGGCAGGATGAATAATATCATCTGTTCTGCTCTCCATGGATTCTGGATATTTTAACATCTGCAGCAGAAAATTGTTTAGAGCTCTGAGATCAAAACAGACACTTACAGCATTCTGTCACCTCGTTCTTTGCCTTTGGGGCCTCAAAAACGATTCTTTCCCGTTTCCCCAGGAGGCACGTTTATCTGGGGCTAGTTGGTATTAAGGCCACAGGAGAAATTGCCGGACTGAAAGACCCTCTGTTGCTCATCAGTGAAGTGCGACACCCATCTCACTCTCCTTGCTAATTCAGGAGACAGGGTGAGCTGCGGCAGCAGAGCTAAGAGCAGCATTTCAGACTCCCTGCTGATGTGCAGAGATGAGACATGGAAGGGCTGCAGGGTTTGGCCCGGGTCCCTGAGAGTTTAAAATTCCCATTGCTACAGTGAGAATGCACTCATGTATGATGTGATCACTTTCCATAAAAGGTCTTTCTGACATTTCAAGACAGACCTGGGGACCGATGGTTAACTTTCCATTGGTCCCAATCCAGGGGAGGCATCGGCTGGCTCTTCGGCTGACAGGAATTAAATTCCTATTTCATCTTTAATCACTAAGGCAGTGACCAGACAACTAAGTTGACAAGCTGAGGGAAAGCGATGTGGCGAGGAAGAAAAATTGTGCAAGTATAAACTGGAAGATTAGCTCATATGTAGCAGGGAAAAAACTAGGGGCCTCCTCTTTTGGGACCTGTAGCTGAGACCTTTTTTTTTTTAACTGAAAATATTATTAAAGTGAAATAAACAGTTCTAACCTCTACTCCTAAGGAGCCAGTCTCTTCCCTAAATTTATGTTTTATCTTTTTACAAGTTAAGGGACACTTACTCTTCACAACAAAATTTCAATGTCATTATTATTAGCCCAACCTACCCATGAAGAAGCTGAGGTTTAGAACTCACCACCCAAATTCGAACCCACCAAGAACACAAACACGTGCCCTGCCGGGGTTTGGTTAGCGCATCATCCCAGTTCTCACCAAAGTTGAGGTTTTGATCTCCCGTTGGCCCATGAATACATAAATAAATGGAACAACAAAATCTCTCTCTGTCTCTCATCAATAATTTTTTTTAATTGTAAGAACACACACATGCGTAAGACAAAGTCATGCCTTCAATGATTTGCAGTCTAAATCAGAATAGACAACACGGACAATAATTAGAAAACAAAAGAACAGGAAAGAGGAGAGAACATTTAGGATTGATCCGGATCAAAAGACAGCTCCATGCAGGAGGCAGCTCTTGGGTTGGGCTTTGAAAATTGTGCGATAATAACATTCAGGAAAAGACATGAAAACATTCTGAAGATGACAGGGTTTGTTTTGTGTGTTCTCGCAGTCAGTACCAGAGCGGCGATCTGAACTCCACCAGTACTCATCACTACTTCATTTGTACCCTGCATTTGAAAAAATAGATTACTTTCTGGGGCTGCTTTAGATTTACAGCAATATTGAGCAGAAGGTACAGAGATTTTCCATATACCCCTGGCCCATGCGCATGCATAGGCTTCCCCATTATAACATCCCACACCCGAGTAAAACATTTGTTACAATTAATGGACTTAAATGAACACATCATTATCACCCAATGTCCATAGTTTACTGTGGGGTTCACTCTTGGCGTTGTATATTCTGTGGGTCTGAGCAAATATAGAATGGCGTGTAGTTATCATTAGTATCGTACAAAGCAGTCACACTGCTCTAAAATCTTGTTTTCTGGCTATTCATCCTTCCCTACCCTGTAAGCTCTGGTAACCACTTATTTTGTTGTTGTTGTTGTTGTTATTGTCCCTATAGTTATGCCTTTTCCAAAATGTCATGTAGGTAGTTGCAATCATACAGTATGTAGCCTTTTCAGGTTGGCTTCTTTCACTTAGTAATATGTATTAAAGTCTCCCTCATGTCTTTTCATGGCTTGATAGCTCATTTATTTTTCCTGCTGAATAACATTCCTTTATCTGAATGTACCACAGTTTACATATCTGTTTACCTACTAAAGGACCTCCTAGTTGCTTCCAACTTTTGGCAATTATGGGTAAAGCTTCTGTAAACACCCATAGGCAGGTTTTTGTGTGGACATATGTTTTCAACTCTTTGGGTAAATAAATACCAAAGAACATGACTGCTGGATCATCTAAAGAATGATCTTTAGATTCCTTAGAATGATCTAAGGAATCATTAAACCGTCTTCCAGAGTGGTCGTACCATCTTGCATTCCCACCAGCAGTAGATGAGAGCTCCTGTTGCTGCACACCCTCACTAGAATATTGGCATTGTTGTAGTTTGGATTTTGACCTTTCTATCAGGTGTGTAGTGGTATCTCATTGTTTTTTAAAAAATATTTGTTTTCTGCCCTGGTTGGTGTAGCTCAGTGGATTGAGCATAAGCTGTGAACCAAAGGGTCACCAGTTCAATTCCCAGTCAGGGCACGTGCCTGGGTTGCAAGCCAGGTCCCCATTACAGAGCACATGAGAGTCAACCACACATTGATATTTCTTTCCCTCTCTTTGTCCTTCTCTACCCCTCTCTCTAAAAGTGAATAAATAAAGCCTTTAAAAAATATATTTGTTTTCTATTAACCCATCTTTTTTTTTTATTTTTTTAAGCCAGGGAATGGCTCCTCCACTCCCACCCCAATCCTTTTCCTGTAGATGTTCTGCTTTGTTTTGTCTAAGGTGATTTCACTTTTTGATTATTGATGTTGTTGCCAGTCTTTCTTAGAAATATTTTCTTTTGTGTTTTAGAAATTTAGTTTGTAGATTTATTTTCAGTGGAATTTTTTCCCTTCTTTCATTTTCTTCCTCTCCTTTTCCTTTCTCTTTCTGTCTTTCATTTCTCTTCCTGTCTAGTGACTTACTTTTCTTTCATCTGGTTTTTATGGCTCCCAGTCAAAAGCCAGCTGAAATATTGGGGCTCTGGGTTCCTGTCTCATGGTGGTAGTAAAGATCTTGCCAAGAAATCTGCTAACTGCTTGATCAGGTTGCCTCCTAGGCACTCAATTTGCATGGATAATATTTATTCTCTGTCACTTTCACAGAAGCCACACTTTGGGTGACCTCCACGGGCTCCTCAACTGGTGGAAGTCCATCCAGACCTTGGCTTTTGCTCTCTATATGCCTCTGTTTCTGTTCCATTTCTGTTCCGAGAGGTACAAAGGAATGCATATATACATGACTTGTTGGTTAAAATAATGATAAAGTCAGTACTTATGGTAACCACCACTGGTTGTCTTTTACATTTTTCTCTTTTATTCTTTTCTCTCACTATCATATGCTTGAGTGACAGGAACCTCCAATACCTTCTTGACAGAGTGCACCTCTCCACTCTAACTGCAGGTGGCGCTCCGGAGACTTCTGTGAGTCCCGTCGCCAAACCCTCTGGGTCTTCGCATACCCTGACCTCTTGGGGTGTGGGCTTCGTGAGAAGCCCCTGCGTCTTATTATTATTTAGCCTCAGTATTTTCTGCCTATGTGTGGTTACCATTATTGCCTTGTTCTCCCATTAACAATTATTAGCTGAAGATGTTTATCGTTTTTTTCCCCCTGACAACAGCTTATCTATTAAAATCTGTGAACTCTCTGTATACTCCACCCTCAAGAAAAGACAGGATAATTTTACCTATTGGGTACATTGCCCCTATAAGTTAAGACCAACAAGCTTTCAAAAATCTTTCAGGAATGCATGTGTATGTGTGTATCCCAAAGTATAAAGAGAAAATTGTAAAATTGGAGTGGACGTTTATTTAATTATCTTCAAAATTAACATTATGCCTTTACTTGTTCAATTAGGATTATACAGCTTTTAGATTTTGTAGCAATTTGAGGTTAGATTTTTTATTGCACAAGAATATCTGATCATCTAGAGGTGCCAGAAATTATGGCTTAACTGTAAATTATATTAATTATTTTGGATTAAAAATTTTCAAGTGCAATTAAAAAAAACCTTTCTTTACAATAAAAAATTAATATAACACCTGTATATAACTTAATATGTTTGATGTGGTGTGGAGCTGGACCTCTGGATATAAGAGACTTTTACAAGAGCCTTTGGAGCTGAAATGAGACATAAAGAATGAGGGTGGCAAGAGAGAGAAAAGGGGGTGCAGAGAGGAAAAGGAGATGCTAGGCGCTGTTCCAGGAGCGGGGGATCCAGAGAGGTCACAGTCTGGTAAGAAATCAGATCAGTTCAACGAAAGTAGGTGTTTTAGGTGCTTTTAAGGAGGTGTGTGCGCTGGAGGCCGAGATGTGGCTAGAACTCCCAAAGGAGTTCACCCAGGGAGTAGGAAGGCTTCTCTGAGGAAGTAACACTTGATCTGAGGGGAAATAGTGGAAGAAATAATCTAGAGACTAGATCAGGGTGGGGAAGCAGAGGAAGGGCTCGATGCGATCGGCGCTCGGGCTATCGGGCATCGACTGCTAGGGCCTGAGCGCGGTCACCGCCCCCTCCACTCCCTTCCCTTCCCTTCCCCTCTCTCCCCAGTGCTCCCGCCGCCGGCCCAGCCAGAGCAAACTTCTAGGCTGCTGTCTCCCTCGAGACGCCATGTACCGGCTCCCGTCAGCCGTGACAATCCGAGCTGCAACTCCCGGGGGCTTGGCCTGGGGCTGCGGGCGCCGGGCAGCCCACTACCGCGCTAGGCTGCCGCCGCTCGGCCCCGGCTGGGTCGGGGGCCTCGGGCTAGGGCTAGGGCTTGCGCTCGGAGTGAAGCTGGCCGGCGGGCTGAGGGGCGCAGCCCCCGCGCCATCCCCGACGGCCCCCGACCCCGAGGTGTCGTCTCAGGTGGAGACGCCACCGCCGTCGCCGCCGAAAGAGCAGCCCCTCGCCCCTTGGTCTCCCCAGACCCCGACGCTGCCCACCTCCAGGCTGTACGCCAGAGCCATTGACAGCAGCCGTGACCTGCTGCACAGGATCAAGGTACGGCGACGAGGGTCGCAGGCGGTCGGGAACCCCACGCCCCAACCCGGAATGGGACCGCTCGGTGGGCAACTTCCCGGGCCGAGCTAACTCCAATCAGGGCTAGGGGATGCCCACAGTTAGTTTCGAGAAAGACTTCCCATTTTCTGATCGTCCGGCCACGGTCACACGCTCTTGGGGGGTTGCCCAAATCGGGGTAGAGGTCACCGCCCGCCTTGGGGACCGCCCCTTCCCTCTTAGAGTGCCAACCAGGCACACCCCTCACCCGTTAGCGCCCGGCCCCGCCGGAGCCGAAGTGGGCGGGGCCTGGATAGAGGGGCGTGTTGGGGGCGGGGCCTGGAGCTCGCCCAGGGTGCTAGCGCTGGTGGTTGTGTGAAGTATTGCTGCGAGTCTGAACTGTCCTTTTCCTTCCCCTTCGCTCTTAGGATGAGGTGGGCGCGCCCGGCATAGTGGTTGGAGTCTCTGTAGATGGGAAAGAAATCTGGTCCGAAGGTAGGCCCAGGAAAGTGTTATTTAGTAGCTTGTTTTGTGCCAGTTGGTAAATGAGATCTTGATGTTTTACTGCTTGGCGTGAAATATCATGAAATGCTGTTCAGTTTACATGACAGTATCCATGTTGCTGAAAACGTATCTAATAGACTAAAGTACCCAATTCCTATCAATAAGATTTAAAATATGCCTAATGAATAAGTTGGAGTCTTTTAAAAGTGGCTTGTTTCTGTGCCCACTCTTCTTTAAAGACTGAATTTATTGTTCTGAAAGTTGTATATAGAACAATCTGTTAAGCGCATATTTGTAGATAACCCTTCTGAGTAGATAAAATGTCCGAATTTTGTTTTTCTTTTTAATTCAGTCAACAATTTATTGAGTCGCCTATTCCATAATAGGTACACGATTCTTGACCTTATTGAGTTTACTATCTACTTTATTACTTTTTTGAGTCCATAGAAGTGGCAGCTATTGTTTTGAAACAAAAAGCTAGAAGCTTTGGGGATTTCTAATCACTTTATGATATTTTTATCAAATCATATTTTACAACTTGATTTACTTCTTCATTCCACACAAATTGGACCAACTGGTCATCCTAGGTTTTGAGGAAAAATACTTTCAGGAAATGTTGTTTCAGACATCATTTAAATAAAGTAGTACTTATTTACTACTTTTTATGGGGGCAGTGGAGAACTAAATTTAAAGAAAAATGATTCTTCCCCAGTATAAGTATAGCCTAATCAGTATACCTAGTTTATGAAAAATATTGTAACTGAATTCATACAAATGTCAGCTTTATAGGTGAAGGCTTTGATTTCATGCAAATATTATAGCATAAACCTTTTATAGTTTAAAAAACAATCATTGTATGCCTTTCTTTTCAGACCTCAGTTCTTTAAATTTCTTAGAAGAAGATGAAACAAAACTTAAAATTTTGGGTAGGAGCTTTAAATTGATAGTACATTGTTTTGCAGCTGAATTGAATTGATAGCTAGATTGGGTGTGTAGGACCTCTTCACATTTGTGTTTACTGGAGGCTATTTTAAGGAATTCAGTGGAAAGTCACTCAAAAATCAAGAATAAACATAATCTGAAGAAAAACAATGATTTTTTAAAGGATGTGTAGTAATTTATTTAAAATGTGGAATAACCAAATTGTTTAGGTAAACTAAGAAAAATTAGTATTTGAATCAGGCAGAAAACTACTGTAGAACCCAAAGTACAGTCCAGTTCAGTTACAAGGTTAGATTGTTAGACTTACTGTGGTCATTGTCGAGACACTCATCCCTCACACATTAAGTTTTCTTTAGCTTATAAAAGTGGCATATTGCTCTGACTGGCATGGCTCAGTTTGGTTGAGTTGTCGGCCTTGCAAAGGAAAAGCCATGAGTTCAATTCCTGGTCAGGGCACACACCTGAGTTGCAGTCAGTTCCCAGTTGGGGGCACACCACAAGCAGCCAATCCACCAATCCATGTTTCTCTCCCTCTTTTTCTCCCTCCCTTCCTTTAGCTCCAAAAATAAATAAGTAAATGTATATATTTTTTTAATGAAATCTTTTCTTTAAATGAATACACGGGATATTTTAAGACAGTTTTATTTCAGTTTTTCAAGACTCCTTTGGCCATGAAGCTAATTAGTAATGACTTTTTTTTTGTTTGTTTTTTTCCCCCAAAGGTTTAGGTTATGCTGATGTGGAGAACCGTGTACCGTGCAAACCAGAGACAGTTATGAGAATTGCCAGTATCAGCAAAAGCCTTACCATGGTTGCTCTTGCCAAATTGTGGGAAGCAGGGAAACTGGATCTTGATATTCCGGTACAACATTATGTTCCCGAATTCCCAGAAAAAGAATATGAAGGTGAAAAGGTAATGAAACTAACAGGTCATTTGACAAATGGCACATTCAATAGTAGTTAAAAAGTTGCATAGGCTTCTTTGATTTTTGGTTTAGTTTGGTTTCTTTTAAATTCTTTTTTAATTCATTGATCTTTAGAGAGAGAAGATGGGGGAAGAGAGAAACGCTGATTTGTCATTCACTTACTTGTGCACTCATTGTTTGCTTCTTGCATGTGCCCTGGCTGGGATCAAACCCACAACTTTGGCATTTGGGGACGATACTAAAACCAAATGAGCTAACCAGCCAGGGCTCTCTGGTTTGTTTTTAATTATTGTTAGTTTTTTTAAAAATCCAGATGATAACCAAGTGGGTATTTCTTGAAGTTTGAGGCTAAAGATTTGTACATTACATATTTTTCCAACAGCAGTTTAAAATGGAAACTATTACTGAGGTATTATTCTGAGGATAGTTTTTGTTATAGTTTAATAATGCATTTAATTCTCATGTTTTACAATTAGGTTTCTGTCACAACAAGATTATTGATTTCCCATTTAAGTGGAATTCGTCATTATGAAAAGGACATGAAAAAGGTGAAAGAAGAGAAAGCTTACAAAGCCTTGAAAATGATGAAAGAAATAGAATGTGACCAAGAAAAAGAGTTAAAAGAAAAAGGAGGCAAAAGTAATGAAAGGAATGACTTTGCTAAAGCTAAGGTAGAGCAGGATGAAGCCAAAGGCCGAAATTCCAAACCTGTCAAGAAAAAAAATGATTTTGAACAAGGTGAATTATATTTGAAAGAAAAGTTTGAAAATACAATTGAATCCCTAAGATTATTTAAAAATGATCCTTTGTTCTTTAAACCTGGTGAGTGTTAATTTCTTCTTTTAACAAATTCATTATTATTGAAATATTAATTTTCAGAAAATTCAAAATACCATCCTGAATGCTTTCAATGTGGTAGGTGATTATGGCACAGATTTTGTTATTAGTCCAGTGCTTGCCTTCTGTCTGCATTTCTTTCCTTTTTTTTTTGTCCCTCACCAGAGGATATTTAGCTTTTCATTGCTTTCGGAAAGAGAGGGAGAGAGAGAGAAACATTAATTGGCTGCCTTCTTATATGTGCTCCAAATGGGGATTGAACCCCGCAGCCTGGGTTTGTGCCCTGACTGGGTTTGTGCCCTGACTAGAAATTAAACCCACGACCCTTTGGTCTACTGGTAAGCGCCAACCAACTGAGGCACACCATCCAGGGCTTGTCTGCATTTCTTAACAGTAGTTAAGAACTTAACACATAATTCCTGCCTAGCATCCATGCAGCTAGTTGTTTAGGTTTAGCCTCATGGAGGCTATTCGGTCATTAGTGGATTCTGAATGGTCCAAACAAATTGGACCAAAGGGGACATGATAAACTATTGCTAGTATCTTAATATTTAGTTAAAATTTAAATTGCTCAACTTACTTTGCCTTTATTCCTTAAAGAAATTTTGTGTTCACCAACTTAATTTTATCTCCAAAAAAAAACTAATTTATAAAAATAACTTTTTGTTCTTGTATACCTTTTGGTATGATGCCTACTGAAACCACTTAATATCTTCAAACTTACCATAGATTTCCTTTATTCCATTTTCATTTTAAAAGATGTTTTACCGTAAGTATTATATAGGTGTAATTAATAACAGTGAAGACATTAATATATAATTGTGGATTTTGTCTTTAAAAATAAGGTTCTCATGCATTTTTAGTAGGTTTCCAGAATCTAAAATGAGAAGTTAATATTTGAAACAATATATGTATTTGAATATTTATTTGTATTGTAATATATATTTGAAAAAAGTGTTTTATATCTACATATGTTTTATTAAAATAACTTGTACAACTATTTATGCCTTAAATAATGGGGAGTGAGTATATTCAGAACAAGACAGTTGACTCAAGAATCCAAATTTGCTTTTCTTCCCCTTCCTATTTTGTTGCCAGTTTGTAGGATATTTGTTATGTTTGAGGTAGGATTGTCTATTTTATTATTATAGAAAGAAGTAGATTCATGTAAAATTTTAAGTATACTGATCATCATTTTGTTGTGTTAGGGGCATGGAATAAGCAGGGCCATTACAAAGCTGAGTAAGTTTAATATATTATCCGTGATGTTTTATAAATGCTGAAGTGAAATATTCCAATTTTAAGGTATATACCAATTTTCAGTGGGAAAATATTTTACATCTTTTTAAATAATAATGCATCATTTTCTTTTTTCCTCCCTGCAATGATGTCTCAAGGTAGTCAGTTTTTGTATTCAACTTTCGGCTATACCCTACTGGCAGCCATAGTTGAAAGAGCTTCAGGATATAAATTTTTGGATTATATGCAGAAAATATTTCATGACTTGGATATGCTGACAACTGTGCAGGAAGAAAATGAACCAGTGATTTACAACAGAGCAAGGTAAATGGTTACTTTTAATACTGTTTTATCAATTAAAACTCAAATTTTCCTTACCAAAATCAACTTGACACATTTTGGGAGCTTTTCTACATGTTTTCTTTTTCATTTATAGAGTAGAGGAAATTAACACTGACACATGCTTTTTAACAAATCTACAGACCTTATTCAAATTTTGCCAATTGTCTCAATAATGTCCATTGTAGCAGAAGTCTCATGATGTCTATCTGTCTCATCATTAGTGATGGTAATTTTAATTTCTTTGTTGAGGTGGTACCTGCCAGGTTTCTCCACTGTAAAAGTTTGAAAGTCATTTCATTGAAATATAGCAAATGAAAAATATATCATAATTTTTACTAGTAATCTGTAAAGGGGCATTGGGAGAAAATTTTGAAGCTAATGGCTAGTAAGAATTTTATGGTTATGTTGTCTTCTTATCCATTTTACTCTAATTATTTGGTTTGTTAAAAAGGTAACATTTAACAAATCTACTGTTGCCTATTTCCATATGCACACACTTTAAGTGCCTTAACAGTACTTGAAATAGATGAAATTGTGGAATATTTTTAGTTTTATCTTTCTGTCTCCACACGAGTTTTGTTTAATCTGTTGTATTTAAGTTGCCATTTTAAAGTTATCAGCTTATTTAAAGGAATTAAATATGCACTCCTAGTCAGTCTGAAGATTTTTTTTTTTTTTAGACCTGAAAGAAATTGGGTTAGCAACAAGTGATGAATTTTCATTTAAAATTTCCTGGCCCTGGCCAGGTGGCTCAGCTGGCTCCATTGGTTGGAGCATCTTCCTGTACACCAAGAGGTTGCAGCTTTGGTCTCTCTGGTCAGGGCACACACCTGGGTTGGAGGTTCCACCTCCCATCAGGCACACACAGGAGGCAATTGATTCATGTCTCTCTCCCTCTCTCCCCTCCCCCTCCCTTCTACCTTTCTCTTCAAAAGCAATAAAAATGTATCCTTGGGTGATGATTAAAAAAAAAGAAACTAAAAATATAAATTTAAAAAGTGGCCTGTGGTTCTCAACCAGTTCAGACTCTTAGTGTGTGTGTGTTTGTGTGCTTGCTTGTTTTCCAGTACAACATTTTATTTTACTGGAAAGCATAAGAAAACTTGACAAATAACCATAGGTTTTCAATTGGATCTTTAAAAGATTCTCTAATAAAAATGGCATAGATCCATGACCTTATTTTGATTTAGATCTAGGCATATATAAGGGAGAGAAGATTATGTATCACGGAGCTGCTTTTCTAAACTAAAAATGAAGCCTCTGTGAGTGTACAGACTGCAGAGCAGCTATCTGGCATATGATGAAGAGTTCATTTTTTATCTCCCATTCTTTGAAAAAAGACAGTGGGATTCCATTTATATTATTAAAGGTTCCTATCTGCTCTGGGTTTTTTCTTCAGATTTTTAGTAGTACCCAGTGGTGCTACAGGGGTAGTTGATCGATTGATTTAAGTTAAATGGGCTACTGATAAAAGAGTATGGTAGGAATGTTGCCTAGGAAAAGGTTCTGTCCATTTGCTTTAATTTTAGTTGACTTATTATGTACTTGAGCCTCTAAAAGTCAACTGATTCCTCTTTTTTTCTTTTTCTTTTTTGTAGTAATTATTTGAAAAGAGCTCAAAGGGACCACCTTTTTTAGAGAGTTCAGGGAGTAAAAGGAATCATTTCAACATATGTATTTTTTTTTAAATAAAAGCTTAAAGTAAACTTAGTAAATGCATATTTCTATTAATTTGTTTTATGTTACCATTTTGCAGGAAATAAAATTTCCAGCAAAAGTCTCTAGCTTTGTTACTTAGTCTACTGACTCATAGGTCATAATTCTAAATTAAATATGTCCATGCTATCCTGGTCATGTTTTTTTAGAGTTACTGTATCCAAGAGTAAATATTTATTGTCTTCATCACTTTTCTGTGTGTACATTTGTATATTTAAAATGTCTCTCAGTTTCTGTCACCTATTAAGGCCTTTCCCCAGAATCCCACCCCAACATACTACTTACATTTATTTGGCCAGAATTTTAGCCACAGGCCACACTTACTTGTAAAGAAAGCAGAGAAATTCATTTTTAGCATGGTACATTGCTTTCTTGAGTAAAATCATTTTTAATGTAAAAATAAAAATATTGATTTGGTGTGTGCAAATATATGTATTGAGTCTGTATAACAGGTGTATTCTGTATAGACAAATAAACTAAATGACCCTTTAAGCAAATATCTGCAAGGGAGTGGAGTGAATGTTCTTGCTATTGAAAGTTTGTTGATACCAGAATCCTTAGTCAACGCATTAGCTTATTACTAGATTTTGTTCATATTTTTAATCCTTACCTAAAGATATATTTATCGATATTTTTAGAGAGAAAGAGAGACAGAGAGTGAGACAGTGAAGCAACTATAGGTTGCCTCGTATGTGTTCCAACCAGGAGTGAACCTACAGCCTAGGTATGTGCCCTACCCGGTGAGCAAACCCACAACCTTTTGGTGCACAGAACAACATTCCAACTGAGTCAGCCAGCCAGGGGACTTGGTTCATATTTTTATGTGTTTGGCACAATACTTGTAACAAAAGTCTCTTTTATAATTGGGGTCCAAAATTAAATAAAATGAATGTTTTCTGAAGTGTTTGCTACATTTTTACAGTATAGGTATGGCCTTTACCTTCTGTTATTCTCTTTTTTATTCTTATTTATTATTTTTATTTTCTAGATTATCTTTTAAAATTACACCTTGTTTCTTATGCCTTTGGCTGACAGACTTTAGTCGTAAATTCAATCCAGATGTTAATGCTGAATGTTAAAGTGGATTGGTTTTTATAATATGCATTTTAAATCTTGTGGGGTTTTAAACTTTTCACAACAATAAAATACAAAGTGGTACATTTAAGAAGCATTTTAAACATAAAAGTATTTTGAATTTCTAAGTTTGTAGATATAGATTTCTGTGGTTATATAATGTTCTAATGCAGAATCTAGAGATTCTTAAGCAGATAGGAAGAGGTTGCTTGTCATCTGGCATCATTCCATCAGTTATTCAGATACAAAGGTGTCTTCGTAACCTACTCAGGAACTTGTGTCTATACCCTATTTGTTTTGAGCAGAAATTCCTTGTGAATTTGAAAGTTATTATCCAGCTGAATAAATCATATTTATGAAAAGTACATAATTTGTACTCTATGAAAAAGAATCAAGGGATTAAAGTCTAAAATATAACTATTTAAAGTTTAGAATTCTAGATTAAAATCTGAAATTCTCCATAGTTTTGTGTTTTAAAGGAGGAATAACAGAAGAGTTCTAATTTCTAGCCTTGATATGAGTGGTTTGAAATGGTTTGCACAAAGCTGGTTATTAGCCGAAATATACTGCTTTCTCTCCTAGCTTACAAACTTGGAGTTCACTTTAAGAACTATGTTTCTGAATGAGACAATGTATTTTTGTTATTTGGCTTCTTTTAGATTTGATTGGCTTGGAATTCCAAGTGTAATCAGTGTTTAGACAGAAAGTAATTAGGATCTAAAATATGGGAGTGGCCATAGGAATGGAAGGAAGAAAGGATAAGACACAAAACAAAGGTTGAATAGTAGGATTTAGCATCTTGTTGGATATAAGAGTTGCAGCAAGAGAGTCAACCAAGGTTTTAATGGAGAGGGAAAATATGAGAAGGTTTGGAAGATACTAATTTTAGCCATGTTCATTTTGAGACATGAGAAGACCACCTATCAAGTCATTGGTTCTCAAGAGAACATATTAAGATTCTCTGTAGACTCCTTTTTCATCCTCAGAGCACATACTTATGGCCGCCCCTGCATCACCCAATATTATCACTTGGGCTTTTAGGGGAGATAATAAGAATCTTGAAGGAAAAAGAGTTCCTTTTCTAATTATGCCCACAGTCCCTCCAAAGTTATTAATTTTGAAGGGAGGATATAATTTTGGGAGGGAGGAGGTCCAGAGGTGATTCTGATAAACAACTTTCCTGCCCTCCTCCAAAACAAAATTTGAGAATTATTAATGCTAGCAGAAATTTTTATTGTAAATTTGGAACAGGGGTTGTGATACAGATGCAGTTATCTCTGTGGAAGAAAAAACCCAGGGAACTGGAGCCACTGGGGACTGGAGGGGTATAGGGAGCCATAGGATGGAGAGCTGGAGGACAGCTCAGAGCAGGATTGCCCGAGGGGTGTCAGGGGCATTCTGGGTAACACTCGGGCAAATGGGATGAGGACTGTACAAAGGGGAATGAAAGATCCCTGATAACCCGTAGAAATAGTTTGGTTGTGATGGGGAATGGCAGCCAGATTTTAAGGAGTTGAATGAATGCAGAATGTGAGTGCATGGCAACAGGAGATGTGGACAGTAAATGAGAAGAGAGAAAGGACTATGATCTGGAAGGTGTAACAAGAATAAGAAGGGAGACTTCCACCAAGATGGAGGCGTAGGTGGAAGCACTGCACCTTCTCGCACAACTAAGTTTAAAAACAACAAAGTTTTAGCAACAAAAACACAGCCAAACCACAGGAAATTGAACTACATGGAAGTCTGACAACAATGAACCCTTCAGCCAAACCGGTAAGAGGGGCAGAGCCAACAGTAGAGAGGGGTTGGGCAGGAAAGATCCACCGGAATGACCTGGGTGCGCGACCCAGGTGCGCAGGCAGCTTTGGGCGGATCCCAGGTGTGGAGAAGCGGGCGGACCAACTGAGGGCGCAAGGCGTTGGACCCACAGGGCTGATCGCGGTCACACATTCTCGCGTAGATAAACTGGTGAAAGAGCTAGCAGTGAGACTGAAGGAGCTAGCAGTGAGATGGACCGCGAAGGCCCCAGCAGCAGGAAGTGGCAGAGGGAACCACCATTGTCCCTTTCTGACCCTGCCCCCACATACAGTGTCACAAAACAGCAACCTGGGTGGCCCTGCCCTGGTGAACACCTAAGGCACCTCTCCTCATTTGTAATAGGCATGAACAGATCAAAACAGGGCTCAAGAACAGCTCAGAGCCCCAGAGCCGATAAATCTAAGCGATAAAGAAATAGCCAAAGTTTCAGATGCACAGTTCAAAACACTGGTGGTCAGGATGCTCACAGAACTGGTTGATTTTAGTCACAAATTAGAGGAACATATGAAGGCTAAACTAATTGAAATGAATGGAAATACACAGGAAACCAGTAGTAATGAAAGGAAACTAGGACTCAAATCAAAGGAGTAGACCAGAAGGAGGAAAAAAAAAGTGACCAAACAGAAAAGGATGAAGATACAAGAATTCAAAAAAAGGAGAGGCTTAGGAACCTTTAGGACATCTTTAAACGTTCCAACATCCGAATTATAGGGGTACCAGAAAGGGAAGAGGAACAGCCACAAGTGGAAAACTTATTTGAACAAATAATAAAGGAGAACTTCCCCAATCTGGCAAAGGAAATAGGCTTCCAGGAAGTCCAGGAAGCTCAGAGAGTCCCAAAGAAGGTGGACACAAGAAGAAACACACCAAGGCACATCATAATTACATTAGCCAAGATTCAAATGAAGGAGAGAATCCTAGAAGCAGCAAGAGATATGGGGACAGCCACCTACAAAGGAGTTACCATTAGGCTGTGAGCTGATTTCTCAAAAGAGACCTTACAGGCAAGAAGGGGCTGGAAAGAAGTTTTCCAAGTCATGAAATCCAAAGACCTACATCCAAAATTATTCTATCCAGCAAAGCTTTCATTTAGAATGGAAGGGCAGATAAAGTGCTTCTCAGATAAGGTCAAGTTCAAAGAGTTCATCATCACCAAGCCCTTATTATATGAAATTTTAAAGGGACTTACCTAAGAAAAAGAAGATAAAAAATATGAACAGTGAAAGGACAGCAAACTCACAGTTATTAAGAACCACACATAAAACAAAAGCAAGCTAAGAGGACAGCTAGATCAGGAGCAGAACCATAGAAATGAAGATCACATGGAGGTTTAGCAACAGGGGAGTGGGAGAAGGAGAAGGGGGGAGAAGGTACAGAAAATAGCATAGATGGTAGGTAGAAAATAGACGGGGAGGGCAAGAATAGTATGGGAAATATAGAATCTAAAGAACTTGAGACGTGGTCATAAACTAAAGGGGGGGAATGGTGGGGGAGGTGGTGTGCAGTGTGGAGGGGAATGAAGGGGAGAAATAGAACTGTAATGGCATAATTAATAAAATATATTTTAAAAAATAATAAAAATATAAAAGGGTTTTTTTTTCCTTAGGATCTAGGAAGCGAGCATTTTGTGAAATAAGGTGAAGGAGTCAAAGTTCCTAGCATAGCACAGGAAATCAATCCTTAGTCACGTGTTTCATGTCTACTCCTCCAGCATCACCTCTTGCCACTTATCCCTTCTAGCTCTCTGCTCTGGCCAAACTGAACTACCTTCTTCACCAGCCTGGCCTGTGTGAGCAGCCATCTAGTGAGGCTTCCTCTCACTAGTGCTCAGAATTTCTTGCATCCATTTCAGCCAGTCATCTCACAGCCTGTTATGTTAGTCAGAGTGGCCCTGGGGCCAGCAGTACTGGTATCACCTGGGAGCTTGTTAGAACTGCACGGTTTCAGGCCCTTCCTTGACCCACTGAAGCAGAAGCTGTGTTTTAACAAAATCCCCATATGATTCATATGGTGCTTTGAAAATAATTTAAGAGCTTTCCAACAAGATTGTTAACCCCCGAGAGCAACCACAGTATGTGGTTTTACTTGCGTCTTTAGTGCCTTGCAAGATGTTGCCATTAAAATATTTGACTAACAAATGGTGCTTTCATTTACTCAGCATGTTTAATGAGCACTTACTGGATGGCAAAACCATTCTGGGTAGAGGAATCATCATTGCACAAGGTTCCTGCCCTTATCAAATTTATATTCTGTGGGAAGAGACATAAACTATAATTTAAATAAGAATTTCTTCATATTGATATGAAGAAAATAAAATGGCAGTGGGATATGAAGTAACAAGGAGAGGATGAGGGGTGGGATTTATTTAAAATATATTTGTTTTTAGGCCATGTTAGTTAAGCCAAGACATGAATGACAAGGAAAGCTAGTTTGCTTTGTTGCAATACGAAATAACTCTGACATGAAAGAAACAAAGCAAGGTATTGTAAGTAATGAAATCAAAGAGGTAACTGGGGGATAAATCATTCTGGGTAGTGAGTTTCAATGCTGTTAGACCAACTGCCCCCTAATTTAACAAATATTTTATAATACCTTCTTCAATACACCAAAATGAAAGGCATCAATCATATATACCTGCACTCAGTACTCTGGTTAGAATACAAAGAAGAAAAGGAATATAATGTATAATAAATAACAGATATTTCAATATGTTAAAATTTATTCATGACATTAGAAGACATCATAAAAGTAGATACAGTTTAATACAGAAAAGCATTACAAATGTGACAACTGTAAATGCAAACCAAAAAATTGTATTGGTGCTTCACCTTGCTGGCCAACTCTGGCTAAAGTTTTGAGCAAAATAAAATGCAGTCTTTCTTCAATTTTTTCAGCAGTTGTGTTCATGGCAATGTCTGCTCTCAGTTCTTGAGTTTGGCAAAGAAAGAATTCAGAGCCAAGAACTCCAGAACTAAGGAAAGTTTAGCAAGCAAAGTGAAAGTACTCTCAAGAACAACCGAGCAGGCTGCTCAGAGAGCTAGCTGCCTTGGCCTTTTAGAAGGAAAGTCATACAGGCAGAAGTGAGCCAGCTGAGCTGTGCGGACTCAGGAAACAAGTTACAGAGGCACAAGAAGGGCCCTTGGAGAGAGGTTCAGGGGGTCAACCCAGGACGAGGTGCTGTGCCTACTGATTCCCTGGGTGTAAGTCTCCTGAGAACCTTTAATGCTTAAAAGAAAGAAAATGAGGTTACATGCCTGAGGAAAGAAGGGGGGGCAGGTGTGAGCATCCTCCAGTGAGAGATCTCCAGCACAAAACTTTGCAAACCACTTTTCACACATTAGATCAGTCATAGGACCTTCTGCATACACTGCACAAATCTTTTTTTGCCTTTCAGTTGTTGTTTTTACCTTTCTTGAAATAATGAAGCATAATATGCTGAAAATGTCAAGTATTTTTTCCATTTTCAGTATTTAAATGGCTACATACAAATTTGCCAACTTTGATAAGTTTCTTAAATGCATGCTGATATGACAGCTATCACAATGCAATCTAATAAAATTGTTTCAAATGAAGTTAAATACAGCTTAGCCCTACTAGAACCATCTTACAGAAAAAAACCGAATGAACTTGTTGGCCAACCCAATACTTAGCAAAATTCACATGTGGGACATGATTCACTATGCCTAAGGAATATTTACCAAACCATAGGTGTTTCTGCATATGCATGGGCAAATATATCATGTGTAATCTTAATCATTAATTTTTTTGCAGTCATTAAAATTTTTATACACTCAGCATGAGCAAGCCATACCAATAGAAAAAAAAGTTACCTTTGATGCTTTAATTCATAAGGTAATTAGACTCACTTACTCAGTTATCTGTAAAATTAAGATTTGACTCACACTGAAAATTAGTGGTTAGTTCCTAAAAACGTGTGATCAATACACTGAAATTCAATCTCTCATGTATATTTTCCTATTCATTTTCATCTGTAAAGTCAATAATAGACTTAAATTTTTAATGACCATTCTTATTTTGTTTTAGATTTTATGTTTACAATAAAAAGAGACGTCTTGTCAACACACCTTACGTGGATAACTCCTATAAATGGGCTGGTGGTGGATTTCTGTCTACGGTGGGTGACCTTCTGAAATTTGGGAATGCAATGTTGTACGGTTACCAAGCCGGGCTGTTTAAGAACTCAAATGAAAACCTTTTACCTGGATATCTCAAACCAGAAACGATGGTTATGATTTGGACACCAGTCCCTAACACAGAAATGTCTTGGGATAAAGAGGGGAAATACGCGATGGCATGGGGTGTTGTGGAAAAGAAGCAAACATACGGATCTTGCAGGAAGCAACGTCATTATGCCTCACATACTGGAGGTGCCGTGGGTGCCAGCAGTGTCCTGCTGATCCTTCCTGAAGAACTGGACGCAGACTCTCTGTATAACAAGGTTCCTCCGAGAGGAATAGTTGTTTCTATCATATGTAACATGCAGTCTGTTGGACTCAATAGCACTGCTTTAAAGATTGCTCTGGAATTTGATAAAGACAGGTCAGACATTCCTTAGCATCGCAGGTGGAAAAATGAACTGTTTTTAAATGTTAAAGTTCCAAAATAGAGGTTTTGATAAGAATAAATTTGTAATGTAAGTAAAATTGAATGCAAAAAGTATGTACCTCTAATTACTTACTTTTGTAATTGTCTTATTGTAGGGTTAGTTCTTTATACTCAGGGAAATAACTGTATTTTATTTACTTTTTGGGAAAAAATGTTAACTCTTGAAATAAAATATTCTGATAAAAATATGTACTTTTTGAATGTGTGATATAGAGAAAAATCTCATTCAACAGGAACTTCCAAATATAGTTAGTTTGTTTGTTTTTTTACCCAACCCCTCAGCCTCACCTCCTCTCCTTTGGTATCATCAGCTCATTCTCTATACCTATCACCTGTTGATTTGTTTATTCATTTGTTTTGGTTTTTTAGATTTCACATGTAACTGAAACCATATGGTATTTGTCTTTCTCCATGTGACTTATTTCACTTAGCATAATACCATCTAGGTCCATCCATGTTGTTGTGAATAGCAAGATTTCATTCTTTTTTATTGCTACATAATATTCCATTGTGTGTATATGTGTGTGCGCGCACGTGTGTGTATATATAAACTTCTTTATCCATTAATTTGTCAATGGACACTGATGTTGCTTCCATATCTTGGCTTTTGTAATTAATGCTGCAATGAACATATGGGCGCATATATCTTTTCAAATTAGTGTTTTTATTTTATTCAGATAAATACCCAGAAATGGAATTGCTGGGTCATATGGCAATTATATTTTTAACTTTTTGAAGAATCTCCATAGTGGCTGTACTGATTTACAATCCCACCAAAAGTATACAAGTGTTCCCCTTTCTCCACATCCTCATTATTATTTTTTTATGATAGCCATTCTGACTGGTGTGAGATGGTATGTCATTGTGGTTTTGATTTGCATTATCCTGATAATTTGTGATGCTGTACATCTTTTCATATATCTGTGGGCCATCATATGTCCTCTTTGGAGAAAAGTCTATTTGATATGCTGCCCTTTGAAAAAATATTTTTATTTATTTATTTTTAGAGAGAGGGGAATGAAGGGAGAACAAGAGGGAGAGAAACATTGATGTGAGAGAGAAACACTGGTCAGTTGCCTCTCATATGCACTCCAACTGGGAACCAAACCCACAACTTTGGCAGGCACCCTGACCAGGAATGAACCAGTGACCCTTCACTTTGCAGGGTCAGTCAACTGACCCTGTCAACTGACCAGTCAACTGAGCCACACTCATCAGAGCCTCTGCCCATTTTTTAATTGGATTGTTTGGGGGTTTTTGACATTAAGTTGTATGCATTATCCTTATATATTTGGAATAGATTTCTATATATTCTACATTCTTCAACTTTACTGAATTCATTTATTCTAACAGTTTTGGGGTGGAGTCTTTAGGGTTTCCTATATATAGCATCATGTTATCTGCAAATAGAGTTTTACTTCCTCCCTTTCAATCTGAATGCCTGTTATTTCTTTTTCTTGTCTGATTGCTGTGGCTAGGAGTATAATTTTAGTTTTGGTTTGTCATATGTGGTTTTTATGATATTGAGGCATGCTTCTATACCCATTTTATTGAATACTTGAATCACAAATGAATATTGTATCTTGTAAAATGCCTTTTTTGTTTCTATTAAATATGATCATATAATTTTTATCTTTTTAATGTATATCACATTGATCAATTTACATATATTGAAACATCCTTGCACCCCCAGAATGAACCCTACTTGATTGTGATGTTTTATCTCTTTAATATATTGAGGAATCCAGTTTGCTAATACTTCGTTGAGAATTTTTGCATCTACATTCATAAGAGATATTGGTCTGTAATTTTCTTTTTGTGTGTGTCATCCTTGCCAAGTTTTGGTATCAGGGTAATTCTGGCTTTGTAGAATGAGTAGGCAGTATTGTCTATTCTTCAATTTATTGAAAGAGTTGAGAAGAATATGGATTAAATGTTTGAATGTTTGGAAGACTTCACTAGTGAAGCCATCTGGTCCTGGACTTTTACTTTTGGGGAGTTTTTTGATGACTGAATTTTCTTACTGTTGGTCTGTCTATTTAGATTTTCCAGTTCTTAATGATTCAGTCTAGGAAGGTTATACTGTTTTGGCCAAAAAGGTCGTTTAGTTTTTTTCTGTACAATGGCTCTAGTAGTGCTTAGTTGTCTTTAACTTCATTTGAAACAATTTTGTTAGATTGTATTGTGACAGCTGTCATTATCAGTGTGCATTTTAAAAAAACACCAAAATTGGTGAATTTTTGTGCAGCCATTTTAATATTGAAGATGAAAGAAGATGCACAACATTTTCAGTGTATTATACTTTATTCAAGAAAGGTAAAAACAACTGAAATACACACAAAAAAGATTTATGCAGTGTACAGAAAATGTGCTGTGACTGATCAAACATGTCAAAAGTGGTTTGCAAATTTTCTTGGCATTACTGACATTTTGGCCAAAAAATTCATTGCTGTGGGCCTGTCTTATGCACTGGAAGATGTTTGGCAGCATCCCTGACCTCTACCCACTAGAGGCCAACAGCAGGAGATAGCGGACATACTCAAAATATCCAAATCAATAGTTATTGGTGAAAATGAAAAATGTCTTTTATTTTACAGAAAAACCATACAGACTTTTCAGCCAACTCAATATATTTCTAACAACTTGTCCATATCTTCCAAGTTATCAAATTTGGCCTTTTATGGTATCGTTTATAGTCATTTGTATTTGCATGGTATCTGTTGTAACTTTTCCTTCTGATTCTGTTTGAGTCTTTTCTCTTTTTTCCTTAGTGAATCTAGCCAGAGATTTGTCAATTTTATTAATCTTTTCAAAGAAACAACTCTTTGTTTCATTAATTTTTCTGTTGTCTTTTTGTTCTCTATTTCATTTAAATTACTCTGATTTTCATTATTTCCTTCCTTTTACTGACATTGGGCTTCATTTGTTCTTTTTTTTCTCATTAGTTATGGCAAAATATTGGATTATTTGAGATTTTTCTTGAGTCTTGAGGTAGGCCTGTGAATATAAACTTCCCTCTTATTACCACTTTTGCCGTATCCCCCAAATTTTGATTAGTTGTATTATCATTTTCATGTTTCTCTATATATCTTTTGATTTTTTTATTTCTTCTTTGACACAGTCAGTGTTTAGTAGCATGCTGTTTGATCTGCATATATGCTTTCCCTTTGCAGTTGATTCCTACTTTCAAAGCATTGTATGTAGTTGGAGAATATACTTGGCATGATTTCAGTCTCTTAAATTTGTTGAGGCTAGTTTTGTGTCCTCACAAATACTCAGATATACATACAGCTACACTCACTTTTCTCCAGATGCCATTTGTTTGGAGAGTCATTTTCCACCCCTTCACTTTGAGTCTGTGTTTGCCCTTGCAGCTGTCTGTTAATTACTGTGCTCATGGTTTTGTACCATTTTGTTTTTGGTAGAACAACACACTTCAGTGTTTCCTGTAATGCAGGTCTTGTATTGGGTAAATTTCCTCAGCTTCTGTATGTCTTGAAAAGCCTTTATATCTTCATATCCAAAGGATAACTTTGCTAGATATATTATTATTGGCCGGTGATTTCTCTCTTTAAATAATTTGAATATTTGGTTTTATTCTCTCCTAGCTTGTAGGGCTTCTGGTGAAAAACCCAGTGATAGTCTAATGGGATTCTCTTTATAGGATACTGTTTTCTTTTCCCTGGCTGCCTTGGGAATTCTTTGCCATTTGATTTTGACAGTTTCGATATAATGTGCCTTGGAAAAGGCCTTTTGGGATGAGATAATAAGGTGTTCTCTTATTAGCTTCTTGGATTCTGGGACATGGCTCTTTTCGCAGGTTTGGGATTTGCTTATTAATTATTTGTTTGAATAGGCTGTCTCGCTCCCTTCTCTACTTCTTGTATAGTCATTATTCTTACAATCCTTTTTCTAGTGAAGTCACATAGTTCCTTCTGCTTTCTGTCTTCCTTCTTTTTGTGATCTTGATTCTTTTCTTCCACCTGAACCATTTCAAAATCTCCATCTTCTGTGTCACCAATTCTTTCCTCCTCTTGGTCTTCTCTATTTCCTAATCCTGCTAGTTCATTCTTCGTATCTTTTATTGAGTTCTTTAGCTCCAGAATTTCTGGGAGGGGGGGGTGTCGGTTTTTTTTTTATAGTTTCAGTCTCTTTGCTTAAGTACTTTTGTTCATCAACTTTATTTCTGAATTTGTCGAATTATTGTTTTGAGCTTTCTTGTATCTTGTTGAGTTTTTTTTAGAACTGAAATCTTGAATTCTGTCATTTAAATCACATTCTTCAATGTCTTTAAATTTATTTTTCTGGAGATTTTTTATTGTCTTTCTGAATTCCCTTGTTATCTTGATTAGTCATTGTGCTTGGTGGATTATTTTTCTGCCTGGGTATTTGTGGGAATGAAAACTGCTTTGTAAATTTGACACTTCACTGTTTAGCAGGTGGATAAGTAGATTGTTTGTTTGATTTTCAGTAGGTGGCACTGAAGCACAAGTTTTATTTCCAATTACTTGCACTGCTGGGGCTTCTGAGATCTCTATGGTACAGTGTCACCTTTACTGTGGGAAATGTTTCTAATTCCTTGAGGAGGTGGGGCCCGTTACCTCAGTCTCAGAGCACCACTCCCATGGATTGGAAGTGGCAGGCTAAGGGTCCCGTGTGTTCCTGGTGCCACCTTCCTGTAGCCAGAAGGCACTGACAGGGCTGCTCTAAGCTGACCTACCTGCCTCCACGAGGCTGCACTACAGTCAGTGCCAGGGGCGGGGGACAGTGGGTTTGTACATCCAGGGTTCTGCTTCTCTTCATGGGTTTAGCCACAGTGAGTTCAGTCTGCTTAGGCTGGTAAGTTTTTTCTAGTCCTTTCATGATCTGAGGAGAGAGGATTTTACTTCTGAGTGGGCCACAGGGAGATGGGGTGGGCGTCCTCTACAGAATCCTTTGTCTAGTGCTGGGGGGCATTGAAGCACTGTGAGTTTTTTACATCATTTTTCTGCCCCGGGTGGGGGGCAGTCTCAATGTGTGCCAGGCACCTCGGCCCGACTGCTGTCTCTGCCCTTGAGTCTGGTGTGCCAGTTGGAGCTGCCCCACTGCTATTGCATCCACTAGGGCTGTGGCAAGCCTGGGGCTATATGAGGCTTTTTTTTCCATCCTTCCCCCTCCCTGCCCTGTTTTTGTTTGCTCAGATATGCCC